TGCTGTTGCTTTGCTGTTGCTGCCTTCCGTGTGTTTGTATTGCTGGAATTTGGTTCGCTGGATGGTTTGGGTTGAGAAATCGCAATCAGAGGAAGACCACGCAACAAGGTACGAGACATTTGAATAACCGTTAAATCTGTTTTAGAAGAGCCGGTCCTTCTATTTCTCCGCTCATTTTTTCGGAAAAATTTTGTCAAAAAATGCGAGGAGTTCTAGTTCAAAACTCATGAAAATTGAGAATATTTTTTAAGCAAAAGAAGCGTGTTGTTTCGGTGAAACAGTGGAATCTCCGGAATCCTGAAAAAAAACGATTTTGTAAACTCTTTTTAATACGATTGTCAAGAATACTTTTTTGCAAAAAAAATCGCTTCGATTACTGTAGCTCAATTTCTTGTTTCTTGTTCAGTAATAAAATTTTCAATATTCAAAATTTTGAAATTTTTGGACTTGAAAAAAAAATTGAGCTTGCAAAAAAAGCAACAAGAACCGAATTTTCTTGAGTTTTTTTGGAAGTTTAAATATTTTACATTCTTCATTAAGTTTTTGAATATTTCAAGAGAAATCACAAAGAACAAAAACCAGAAAATTGCTTTTTATAGATTTCTTCGTTTATATTCTTTACAATAAAATTGAAAATTTTGGTACTTTGAAGTCAAAAAATTTCAAGCCAAAAATATTCATGTTTCAGCTCTCATTTACAAGTTTCTCAGCTCTTCTAGAAGCTGAGATAAAGGAGTTTGAAGTTTTCGAGAGACGCAGGCAATGAAACACTCTAACTGTCTGCGTCTCTCAAAAACATAAACCTGCTGTATCTCAGCTTCTAGGAGGTCCAGAAAAATGGTTTCATGACAGAAATTCAGGTTTTTCTTTTATTTTGATATTTTCTTAAAAATTGAAATTAGAAATGTTGAGTTTTAGAGTTTCAGAATTTTTCATCCATTTATTTTGAAATACCACCCATTTCAGTTTAGTCTCCTCTCCAATCATCACCAACCAATCTCCACCTGCTCCTATCCCAATTTCTTCTTCTTCCTATCCATCCGATAATATTTCTGGTAATGCTAATTATAATCCTGTCATCCGCCAACAACGTCAAATCCACGTGGATTCCTCACCTAGAGATTCTGAAATTTCCCGTGTCATGGTACCTGGCGATCAGGTGATCTATTCGGCCGAAGACCGCTACTACACCTCTTCCACAGCTCCGGCTGGAGCTCATCGACCTGATGCTTATAATGTTTCTCGCTACTAGTATTATTTTTTCATTCTGTCTTTCACTTCTTTACTTTTCTATCTCTTTCTTTTTGCTTGTATATTTCGCAATAAAAATTATTGAAAAATCGGAAATTTTTCTTCAGATTTCAACATATTTAAACTGCGATATATGTAAACATAAAGTACCAATCAATAAGACACATAAAAGATGTGAAGTTCATTTTCGGCCATTTGGATACTTATCAGGAGTCTGGAGCTCGGCTGTCAAGTTTGGATGCTTTTTGGAAATCGGAATGTTGCTTAAAAACTAGGAATTCTCAAAAAAAATCTGTGAATTCTTATTGACCGGTACTGTATGTCAAATAGAGGTTGAATAATTGTTCGGAAAACAAACCTTTATTAAATTTGAAACATTAAAAATTTAGGGACTTCCTCAATTTCAGCAGACGTTGACACCAATCGTTATTTGGTCTATGTGCGAAGGTAGCATCCGCTGGTCGTAGAACTTATGCCATTCCTCGTTAATGGTAATTTGAAAAGAACCATGTTTAGAGAAATACTTCGTCTTTTAATGATTACCTCGTAACCGTAACAATTACTCGAAGTACATAATTTCCGCGGATGTTGTCGGAAGAACACGTCCATCTCATCTTCCGGGTTCACAGCGATGTATAACGGCACGACTGTGTCTGTGAAAATATACTTCCAATCTGTAAAATGAAACTTTTCAAAAATTGCGTTCTGAAATGACTTACTTTTTTCTCTTTCGATCAAAAATGGTTATGGTGATCCCAACTTCCAAGTTTTCCAATCTCTTCGTATAACGGATATTATTGACTTTACCGGAGGAGCCCACGGATAAGGATACATGTATTTTTGGAAGTGGCGGGGAAAGAGTTTTCGTATTGGTCGGATGGGACGGATGGGACGACATCCTCTGATTTCAGCCGCCCAGTTGGCTAGAATACATAGCAATGAAGATGCAGATATTTCATATTTCATAATTGTCTTCTTATAGTGGAAAAAATGTCCTTCAATGATTTTACTTTCGGAGGCTTTCGGCATTTAATAAATAAGAACGTCTTTCGAACAAGTACTCCAAATCTGCTTTTCATTTCCTTAAAGGGGTAGGGACAGGAGATTTTACGGGGGATTTTTGGGGCCAGAGTATGCATTCTACCGTAACAGTGTACAACGCTTAATGTCACTCTGCGTACAGCTGTCGTCCTCGCCTTTATGTATGCAATCGCGCGGCCGCTTTCTCTTTGCCCGCGTCGCTCAGTCGGTAGCGGCGCCGCACCCTCAATCTTCGCCCCCCCCCCAAGTTCAACTCCTCGAGAGGCATATTTAAACGGAATTTCGAGAACATTTTTTTTCATGTCTCCCCAACATTAACTGGCTTCAATAGATTGGGCGTGAACCGTTTTGTGGTTTACCCACGTGTGGTTGTAATCCCGATTTTTACCTCCAAGCCTCCATACGCACTTCATCCATCTGATACAATAGTAGTTCCTAAAACACACAACATTCTGTTCTATCAATTCCCTCGAGCTAGTAAGCTGGAAATTGTGACCTGTGATCGCTGAGAGATGAGAATCGAAATGCATTACTTTGCTTAGCTATCAAGAACATTTTCGACACTTTCCAACCAGTCTTCTTTTGAATTTTTGAAAAATTTAAAGAAACCAGTCGATTTCCGCCGCCTCTCGGCGGCTACAATCTCCTGGCTTCACTAAAAACGTTTGAATCTCCAAATCGGAGAGAATCAGAAGAGGAAGTTTTAGTTGATTGTGTTGTCAACTTTCATAAACTGGAGTGACAGTCTGCTTATGCGCCTTCGGGGCTAAACCTTCTGGCTCCCGCTTACAACAGCCTTAACCGATTGAGTTTGGGCTTGGACAGATAAATCAGCAATGTAGAACAGAAATGTGTCTTAGTTGATACACGAACTGTTCAAAATTTCCAAAGTTTTAGAACTAATAATTTTCCTGAATTCCCGAATTTCTTGAAATTTGACAACTTATAATTTTTTCAGAAGTTTTGAAATTCAGGAGTCCTGAATTTTCGGAACTGCGATTCTAGAACTTAAAGATTTTTCTATTAAAATACTTCATTTCAGAACTCATAATTTCTGAAATTTCGTATTTTCAAGTTTCCGTATTTCCGACTTTCTGAGATTCTACTTCACAAATTCCCAAAATTAAAAATTTTAACACGAATCAGATTTTCAGAATTTTCTCTAAAACACATTTCTGAGTTTTTGATTCACAAAGTTTATGAATTTCCGAATTTTCTAAATTCCGAACTTGGGCTTTCTGATATTCTGAACTTCTGAGTTTCTGGTTTTTCTGGTTTTTGCTTTCGAGATTTTGGATTTTCAAAATTTCGAGTGTTCTAACTTTCAAATTTTTTAATTTCGTAATATTCCGAATATCTGAATTTTTATACTTCTGGATTTCCGAAACATTGGACATTTGAATTCTCTGATTTTCAAACTTCAAAATTTCCGAAGTTTCAAATCTCGGTATTTTCGAGTTCCCGTTTTTCCAATTTTCCGAATTTCTGAATTAGAATTTTAGAATTTTAAAGTGAAACCAAAATGTTTGAAGCATAGGAATGGTTAGAAATTTCGCATTTTCAAAAAAAATAATCAAATTTCGTGAATCAGAATCTCCGAAATTCAGTTTTTGAGAAGTTAGGGGATTCAGAAAGTCAGAATTTTAAAGTTTACTGAACTTTTTCTTTCTCTCTTCTTTCAAAACTAAGACTAAATAATTATTTTCACAAAATAACATTTTTATCAGATATAGTGTGGATAAGAAAAAAATAGAGGGGTTGGACGGAAGTGACGTGAAAATAATTTTCTAAAGAGTTGCACTGTAGGAATGGAGTAACGTCTCCAGGTGACGTCAGAAACAAAATTTTAAAATGAAAAATAGACGGGCAACATCTCGCTGCTATTTCTGATCATCTGTAAAAATTTGAGAATTTTTGGTCTACTGGAGACTTCACTAGGGTCGTGGAACCGGGAACAAACGGACACACAGACAGAATTTGATGATTGTTAATAGTAAAGATGTTCAGCTTGAAAAAAATGTTCCAGCTATCATTTAGTCCAAAAATTAGTTTTCTAGATCATCTGGAATCTGAGATACAGTCGTCTGAAGTTTCTGAGAGACGCAGACAACGAGGCACTCGATCATTCTGCGCCTCTCAAAAGCTTCAAACCGCTGTATCTGGAGGTCTAAAAAATTGGTTTTTTGACAGAAATGTTCCTTTTTTCCAATTTCTTTAAACATTTCATAAATTTGTTGAGCGGTGAAGATTAGAATGCATTACTTTGCTTGTGCCCCGCTCGATAAGTCCAAATTTAAAAAAAAATTACAAGAATTTTTCATTATCCGGCCGTAGTCAAACTGGGTTAAATTGTGAGGGACGAAGCGGCCCAGCTTTTTGACTTTCCCAAGTGCAGCAAAAGCATATTGGACTACAGAGTGAGTCATACCAAGTGATTTAGACATTTCTCTATAAGTTCGAGATTGAAAAAACCAATTAAGAAAAAAACGATTTGGTTCTTGGTTCTAGGACCTGAAGAGATGAACTTAAGAACTAATACAAATCACAAAGCCCTAATAATTTTTTTGAACCTTTCAAAAACTCACTTTTCAAAATATTTTCTGTATCACAATTAGAACCATAATTTATTTAGTATAGGAAAAATATAGAATTTCGAAAAAAAATCAGGAAAATAGAGGCACATAAACACTGCGCCATGAGAAAAAGTAAAATGAGAATAAATGAACGAGCAGCAGTTCATTGTGTGCTTATCAGTCTGATAACAAGAGAGTTAAAAGATGAGGAGGGGTTAGAGAATTTCAGCAGGTCATTAATTGGTTTTTTTTTTCATTTTTGAATTTGAAGAACAAAACAATTCGGCTGATTTTACGGAAAAGGAAAATACTAATTTTGAAATTCTAAAACCTAGAAATTCTGAGATTTTGAGATTCGAGAGTTTTAAAATCCTAAAATCTTGAAAGCCTGAAATACTGAAATTCTGAAATCTGGAAATTCTATAATTTTGAGATTTCGGAATTTTGAGATTCTGAGATTCTGAGATTCTGAGATTTTGAAATTCTGAGATTCTGAGATTCTGAGATTCTGAGTTTTTGAGATATTGAGATTTTGAGATTCTGAAATTTTGAGATTATGAGGTTCTGGGATTTTGAGATTTCGAGATTTCGAGATTCTGAGATGCTGAGATTCTTTTTTATGCTTTTTTTTTCAGTTTTATCCCCTAATTGGGCGATCCATAAATTACACCCACTTCTTTTTCTTCTTCTATTTCTTTTTTTCTTTCTTCCTAATTCCTTTTTTCTTCTTCTCCTTTTTCCCAAACATAAAGCTCTTCTCTTTTTCCTCTTCTTCTTTTTCCTGAAGCCGCGACGCGACCGCGTCGCGTGCTTGGTCTCACTTCACTGGCAAAAAGCGACGAGAAGCGAAGGCAGAGAGGGAGAGAGAGGAGAGAGAAAAAGGGTGAAAAAGAAGAAGCAGTGAGAGGCGCAGACAGACATACTCACGGGCATACACAAAATTCGGTGGAGATGGATGCACCAAGTGAAAAACGAGAGCAGATATTGAGAGATGGAGAGAAAGCTCTTTTGCCCATTTTCGATTTCTCTCCTTTTTCTTTTTATTTTTATTTTGGACCAAATCAATGAAATAGATGTCTTTAATTTTTCGATTCCATAAACTTTGACCCAATTTATCTCAGTTTCTAGAAGAGATATCAAGAAGTGGTCAACTGATAAATGTTCATCATAATAGCAAAAAAATTTTATTAGTTGACAAATTTTTGGTATCTTTTACGGGAACCGAGATATTCCTTTTCCCCCGTTCTATTTCCTAAACCTTCCATTTTTCAGGGATAATGAGCCTCTAAACCATCCCACCAACCAGTTGTTAACTCAAAAACCTGGCTTCAAAATCGCCATTGCTCGCATAATACCCTTCAGGTTTTTCCACAAATTTTGATCTCAAAACCCAAAAAAACTATGAGTTCGGCCGCTGGAGAATCGTCGTCTTCGTCGAAAGTGCCAGAGAATTCTGGAAGCGCCGCAGCCGCCGCGACAGGGTGAGGAGACAAAAAACACATTTTTGGATTACTGTAGTTTTTTCTAGGTCCGAGTATTTGGAACAATTAGCTAATGAGGCGGAGGAGTTGAGGAAGAAGTTGGATGCGGAGAGACATAAGTTGAATGATATTCCAAGTGAGTGAACATCTGGATGAATCGAGACACAGATAGATAATATAATCGTTTGCTTTGCCGCAAATTATCTTCGTTCTTGTTTGAGATATCAAAAAGAGGTTAACTGACAAAATGTTTGCAATATTATGATAAACCTTTTATCAGTTAGTTACTTTTTGATATCTTTCACAGAAAACGAGAAAATTTTAATCAAATAAGGGTGCTTTTTTTTCCAGTCAACGCTCCTCACATGCTGGTCATACTCCTCGAGGGGCTTATATGAAAAAGTTTTGAGGAATAAATTTTTCATATCCCTCCTCCTTCAAGACTTTCTGATTTAGACAATGTACAGTACCATCAAAAAACGGACATCCGGACATTACAGACACATAATTTCCTGATTTTCAGTTCAACAAGCCGCCGAACGTCTGGATGTGATGGGCGCGCTCGGCGTCAAGCAACGACGAATCCTTAAAGGACATGTTGGCAAAGTTTTATGCATGGATTGGTCCCTGGATAAGAGACACATTGTCTCATCGTCTCAGGTAGGCGTCTTTTTTGGAATACGTTGGGTTTAAACTATCGTAATCACTCTCATAAACTGACCTGCCAAGCTTTCAACTTTGAGCTAAGTTATATCAGTTCTTGTGAAAGATATCAAAAAGTAATCAACCTATAAAATTTGCTGCTGTTATGAGAAACATTTTGTCAGTTGACCCGTTTTTGATAGTTTTCAAAGGAACCGAGATATATGGTCTCAAAGTAGCAAGTTAGATGGGGAGAAAGGGTTGTTCTGTTAACGGTAGTACCAAAAATGGTGTCTTTTGTTCATCAGAATTTTTAAATCTAGTCGGCCTATAATAGATTCTAATTTCAAAAAACCATTTTTAGGATGGAAAAGTGATTGTTTGGGATGGATTCACCACAAACAAGGAGCACGCATTGACGATGCCAACCACTTGGGTTATGGCTTGTGCATTTTCGCCATCCAGCCAAATGATTGCATGCGGGTAAGGAAATTCGGACATTCAGAAACACAGACACAATATGCATTTTGATAAAATCCATTAATTTTGTGCGATTTCTGCAAAAAAAATCCGATAATCTCTGTGGAAAAAACCGTTGACGCTCTGATAGCCATCCTAGATCTTCACTTTGAGCTTAATTATCTCGAGTCTTATTAAAGACATCAAAAGTTTGTCGACTGATAAAATGTTAATCGTAACATTACCAACATTTTATTAGTTGTCCACTTTTTGATAACTTTTACCAGTACCGAGATAAGTTGCCTCAAAGTTCAAGCATAGGTTGGAGTACGGTATTTTAAGGTGTGCCTATTCAGACGTTGTTCATTTCGGTTCCATTAGAAATTATCAAAAATGTGTTAACTGATAAAAATGTTCAAATTTTATGATATACATTTTATTAGTTGACAACTTTTCGATATCTTTCCTAGGAAACGAGAAAAATCATGTGAAAATTGAAAGGTGGTGGCTCAAAAGTCAAATTTCAGAGGACTCGACAACAAGTGCAGTGTGGTCCCATTGTCGTTCGAAGACGACATTATTCAGAAGAAGCGTCAAGTGGCAACCCATACATCTTATATGTCATGTTGCACATTTCTCCGTTCTGATAATCTCATTTTGACTGGAAGTGGAGATTCGACATGCGCCATTTGGGATGTCGAGAGTGGACAGTTGATTCAGGTAAGTTAGAGTGGCCTAGGATACCAAAATTTGGAGAAGTAGGGGCTCTTGTCCCCAATTTTTAAGGTACATAGGTTCTTCTTTGGTACCGCTAGTGGCATAGAAACATCTCGATGACGCTGACCTAGAAACCTCATTTCCAGAACTTCCACGGCCATACCGGTGACGTCTTCGCCATTGACGTTCCAAAATGCGACACTGGAAACACCTTCATTTCTGCTGGAGCAGATAAGCACTCTCTGGTTTGGGACATTCGATCCGGTCAATGTGTCCAATCGTTTGAAGGACATGAGGCCGATATCAATACAGTCAGATTCCATCCAAATGGTGACGCATTCGCAACTGGATCGGATGATGCTACAGTAAGAATTTCCATTTTAGAACTCCAGTTCGATAGAGCGCGTTTGCTGATAAAGAAAATTCGAATTTCCGCCAAACCACTCCAATTTCTTTTCCAGTGTCGCCTCTTCGATCTCCGCGCCGATCGCCAGGTGTGTGTCTACGAGAAGGAATCGATTCTCTTCCCAGTCAATGGTGTCGACTTCAGTTTGAGTGGTGAGTAAGCTGGCCTAGGAAAAATCTTCGGCCATTTCGGCTAGTCTGTGATACAATGTGAGCCTTTAAACGATTTTCCAGAATTTTCAAAATTTTTCAAGGTTTGTAATCGAATTTTCGGTTTTTTTCATCGAAAAAACACAAAAATCACATCGAATTTCAAGAAAAAAAACAAAATCGAAAGTTCGTTTACAGGCACATGTATACATAGATTACGGTATTTCTCGAGTTTTTCACCGAAAAATCGTCGAAATTTTAAGAAAAATATGCAATAGAAATTACGAAAAATCGTTTGAAGGCGCATGTAATTTTTTCCAGGTCGTGACCTAATTTTTCTGGATCATGACCTGAAATAATTGGAATTTTGAGAAAAACGGGTGAAAATTATTTCATTTAAAGGCGCATGTTCTCATTGAAGTGAATTTTGTGTAATTCGTTGTTTTCCGAATCTTCGCCTCTAAATAACAACAGACTTGGCCTAGAAAAATCCTCGGTCACCTCTAACCAGAAAACAAAAACTCTTCCAGGCCGCATCCTATTCGCTGGCTACGGAGACTATCGTGTCGGCGTCTGGGACTCGCTCAAATGCGTTCGTCACTCTGTGCTCTACGGTCACGAGAATCGCATCAGTTGCCTCCGAACGTCTCCAGATGGCACTGCGGTTTGCTCCGCCTCCTGGGATTGCACCATTCGTATTTGGGCTTAAGCCTACTTTGAAACTAATAATAATATTTCTGAGCTTTATGTCACTTGGCTTTTTTTTCTCCCCCCAATACTCCATTGATCCCCCATTGATCCCATATTTTCCCCCATTTTCTCTGTCTCTAGTCACACCCAAATTCTCACAATTTTACAGAATAAACCATGTAAATAGCAACAGTAGGAACAGAAGATACTCTTATTATTCAAAATCGCCAAAATACATGGGGCAAGGGGGAATACTGTAGTTGGAAAGGGGAGACGAATAAGAAGAACATGAGCAACGTATGGCAAAAAAAAAAGAATTGAGGGAAGGTGAGGAAAATGCATTGATAAAACATGGTTGTCCCGAAAAGTTTTTTGATTGGGTGGTGGGTGAGAGAGTGTGTGAAATGAAGAGACGGAGAGAAGTGAAATTACAGAGAAAGAAGACAGATTGATTCATAAAGGGATGGCTTAGGCACAGCAGAAGCATCTGACGCAGTTGATGATGATCGAGAGGATGGTGCAGACGGCGAGGAACAAGAGGAGAACAGTAACCCAGTCCTGGAATATCATAATTGTGCGATTTTCGGGAGAAACGGGGTTTCGAGCTTTTTTAGGTTGCAAAATGATATTTTCAGAGTTTTCAGGAAAAATTGTTTTTGGAAAAATATTTGATGGCTTTTAGGAAATTTAGATCCGATTTTTGAAGTTGAGCATTTTCAAGCTCAACGATTGTTTCGGTTATTTTTCAAACTTTCGAAAGAATGGTCCTAGAAAGAAAATTACAGTAACCTAAAAACCTTTTAAAAATTGATTGTTTTGATGCGATTTTTTGGGAATTGTCTGATTTTTGTGATGAAAAATTCATCGACAAAATCTAAAAAATAGGCCAAAAATAATCACGAAATATCCATGCTCCTTTAAGGATGTATTTAGCTACCGAGCTTAAGCTCCGCCCACCATCGAATTTGCGGAATTTCAAATTTTGCTCATCTCTCTCATATCTCACCTGAAGACGGAAGCAGCACTGATCGGCGATTTGTCCGCAACACTTGAAGTACCAGAACACGTTCTCCTCTGGGCACGCGGATCCAACGACTGGCAATGGACACGCCAGTGGACTGCGACGGATCGTGAGTGGCTCAATGGATTTGACGTACTCGAGAAGATCGTCTCCCTCGGCGTTGACTGATGGAGCAGAGGCGAGAAGAGCCATGGCGAACAGGAACAGTGGAAGAGTGTAGGACGACATCTCTCTGAAAGGGATGGGAATTAGGGTGGGGTTGAAATATTGGAAAAGGTGAAAGCGGAGAAAAAATAGCAACAATTAGCTAAATCTGCTAAAAAGATTACTTAAAAGCAGGGCAAAAATGGGCCCTGGCGGGCCCTGGTAATAGTTTCTTTAAAAATCAATATTTTCAGTCTATCTAAAGTAGATATAATAGAACTCGACGAGTACTACAAAATTATAGTATTTGAAATACTTCATCTTGTCTATGAACAAAGTTTCACTGCGAATACAACGAGAAAAATGACCAGGCTAAATGACCCGAGCGAAATTCGAAAAGGAATTGAAGAAGACGTTTACGTGTGGAGTAGAATAAGAAAACGTTTTGAAAACGGAAAGAAGAAAGAGGGATGAGTAAATGGAAATTGAATCCGATTACTTCTCTACCAACTAGTCCTTCTTTTTCTTTTCGGATATAGAAAAAGAGTTTAGCTTATAGGCTAAATTCGGTTGCATCGGTGAGTGACGCAGTTCCGCAATTATTACCTCTCGTTTGTAAAAGTTTCTAACAGGTTTCACTTTGGAATATAAAAAAAGATTTGGTGATGATTTAGTGGCGGTGTTATGCAAGACCTAATGGAGAGTGACGTTCCGGAGGGATGAAAGGTTAGCAGGAGGGAAAATGCTAAGGGTGAGCAATGATGATAGATTGCGGGGACGATTTCGAAATAATGGCTTTGCAAAAATAAAACGGGCATACTCGAGCATAGTTTCTTTCAGGATCAATATTCTTGGACCAACTTTATTAGTCCTGATAGTACTACAAAATCGTACTATTCGAAAATCTGTATATTTTCTATGAGCAAAGTTACAAGCCAAAATCCACCTGAGCTACGCGGCCACAGCTTTATGACTTCTGACTTCCTTGTGTTCTATGTTCTGACGATTCAAGAAACTACGAATGCCTACCGAAGCCACCACCGACCATTGCTCGATGCCGGAGCCGACAGTCTAAGACCAGCCAAGCAAATCAAGTCAGCTAACTGTGTGATCCGTTAATAAACTTTTAATTTTTTTGTAGACGAGATACACAGCTTCTCTCTTGAATTGGTCAATAATGTCCAGCCGGAAAGAAACTGCGGTCAAGTTACTGTTGAAACAGCAAAGAAGGATGCTTCCCAGTATTTTTTTTCTAACTGACTTGGGAGATATTGAAAATATCACGAAATCGAGCTTCTGTTCTAGAGGAAGCATGCTCTTGTTTGGCCAGTTCGTCAAAAAAAAAGCTTTCAGTTGCCAGGGAACCGTTTGAAATGGGATCTCTAATTGGCTTTGGCTCTAATAGAAGCCCATCCTATAAATGCACTTCGAGCTCAATTATCTCGGTTCCGGTAAAAGATATAAAAAATCTGTCAACTGATAAAATTCTGATAACTTCGCGAAGATCATTTTATCAGTTGATAAACTTCTGATATCTTTTGAAGAGACCGAGATAATTGTGCTCAAAATGGACGTATAAGGTGAACTTTTATTAAAGAAAACACAGTATCTTTTACTGCGAAAGCGAACTTTTGAAAAAGCGTTCGAACCGTAGAACCAACACTCTTATGAAGTCAAAACCGCGAAAAATCCAAAACGCAAATAGTTTTCAACAAATCGGAAATCTATAGGCAGAATAAAAGCGTTTAGAAACTGACTGAGGGTCTCCGCAGAAGGTCAAACCCCCATGATGACAAGGGCTAGTAGTGACACAAAATAGGATCGATTGATTGTTACCTTCGGATGAAAGGAAAAGAGAGAAAACAATGGTCATTAGCTGCTGCTACTAGAAAAAAGAAGGACAATTGGAATCTCATTGAAAAGAAAATTGGAGGAAAAAAATCGTTCGACGATTTTTAATTCCGCCTTCTTTTGTTGGCAGAGGAAATATTCCATGTCCACCGCACATTTCTACTACTTTTGACCTTTGTTGTGTAAGGAAAAATGTGTAAAAAAAGGAAGAGACATTGTCTAAATGCAAATAAGGAACGACCAGCCGGGGTGCTTATCCTCTCAATTTCCGCAGAAATCGTCAGTAAAGAAGCTGATTCTCACAATGTGATCCGTAAAGGAGGTTATCATAAAGGAAAGCGAGAGGGTGACATGATTGAAAGGGCTGCTGACCCCCACAGCGTGAATCGCCCATTAATGGGCTAATCACCTATTCTTCTTCGATTAGAACCTGCTTTCTGAGACAAAAACAGAGACACTCCTTGAAGGAGAAGCCTTTTCTCTAGCGACTTCCTTAAAATCACGTTGTCTTCATTCAAATTTTTTTGGATTTGGTGCTATTTTTCGAATGACCCAGTGGAAGGGAAACAAGGCGTTTCAGCCCTTCTGAAATTTGCGAAAGAAAATCCTGATCAAGAGCGCCTAAAACGGCTGAAATACAAGAAAACTAACTCTTCGAGGAACCCCCATATAGCGAAATTGACACCATGTCAGCCTGCTGATGCATAACTGACGAGTGTTTTTTTTTTAAAGAAAACAGAAGACAAATACACAAAACAAGGGATTGTATTGACTGACTGTTCTCTATCAAGGAGAAGGAGGTGGTATCACACAGTTTGTGTTCCTTTTTTCTGCGTCTCTCTCGCTCTCTCTCTCTCGCTTGGTACACAGTTTGTTTATACGGACCAATCGATGCGTATTGAGGGCCATGCAACCATGATAAAAGGTGAGAATGCCGACTATCCTTGAGTCAGTCTAATGCGAAAGGCACAACGAAAATATTGATTGATGCGGAAAAAGTGGCAATTTCAAGGGACAAATGGACCAGAGAGTCTCTCAGAGAGGGATGAAGCCGCAGGAAATTGAACATATTGTTCATTTCTTGCTACATCTGCGAGTGGATTAGCAATGGATCCCCGCGGGCTCTTTTAACGAGTTCTTGGGACCAAAGAACCAAAAATGTGGTCCAAAAAGCGAAAAAATTCCAATAACGATTCTTTTTATGGCCCAATTCAGGGCTCTCCTTAAAAGAATAAGTGTTGTCCTACACTCAAAATTTTTGAATTTGCCGCCTCTTTTTTCAAATAGACCCACTGGAAGAAACACAAATCCGGAATAAAACAAATTACAGTCAGAAAAGTGTTGAGATTCGCGAGAACCAATTTCCACATTTTTCGAAATTCAAAAAAGTGAAATTTTCAGTGATTCCCGCTATTTTCAGCAATTTTTTGATCGAAAATTGTTTAAAATGTTTCTTCGTTCAAAATTATAGGTTTAGGCTGAAACACAAAATCAGTTTTTTCGCTCAGAATATTTGTATTTATTGTCAATTCAAAAAGATCGCACCGGTGAACACGCAAACAAACAGGTAAAAAAGGGGGCGGAGCGATCCGCCTCTTTTCGCAAAGGCACCGCGCGGATTTTCGGCGGTTTTTTGCCGTTTTTTGGTAATTTTTCATCGAATTTCTTCCGAATTGAAGGAAATTCGTCGGCTTTTTTTTCTAATTCATCCATCATCTAATAAGAAAAATGTTCTCTGGTATCACAACTATGAAGAAGTGTTGAATAATCTGCGGTTAGTCGACAAATTACTCTAAATACTTCTCCGATCGAGTTTTTCAGGTTTTCAGGAAACTTTACAATGATAATTTATGTTTTATGTGATCTCGAAGCTTTCCAACTTCTTATTTTCATCTTTGCAGGATTCGATACGTCACATGGTCTTGCCCTTTTCATTTCTGACTCGCTAGTTATCTCTCGGAGCCGTATTTTATGTCATTTTGAATCAAATTCTAAAAGTCTGGCCGATACTTCAGACCAAAAACTATGATTTCGTGTGATTTTCGAGAGGTCGGATATGTCTAGATGATTGGAGTTTTCCAGTCATCACTACCGTATGGAATATGGAAAATTTCAATGCAAAGACAAAGAAAATTACAAAAAAAACAAAGAGAATTCCTTTAAGAACACATGATTTTTGATACTTTGGTCTGGGTTGAAAAGGAATGAGAAGAAGGATGGCTACTACCACTAAAGCGAAAAGAATAAGAGACGACGAACGTAGAAAAACCGCAGGAAGTAGCGGTGGTTGTCTCGCCAGAAGAAAAGAGGAGGATAACCCACAAAAAGAACCTGTCTCTCTCCCATTCGATTCGTATTAGGCAACCAACTGGTCACGGCAGCACGATTTGAATCGATTCGATGGAGGAGGATTCAGATGACGGCATCAAGAAGAAAAAGGAAAATTTCTGACACTGACTCATTATTACACTCTATTTTTCCTATAAGTGGAAGGACAGATTTTGATGGGGTAAAAGAGAAACGCTGTCGAGTGGATTTCGAAATTTTAAAGAAACAGTTTTGATGGAGAGAAAGTTTTAGGCATTTCCGGAGTGAGTAAATGGCATTAAAATGAAGATTTCATGAAGGAATTATTGGAAAAATTGGGAATTTCAGCGAAAACCTGCGATTTTCAGCCTTTCTTTCCGGCAGTGTGCCTTATCGACAAAGATTTTCCGATTTTGTCGACAAATTTACCTGACAAATTATCGATAAATTTGTCGATAAAAAACGATAAAATTTTGTCGATAAATTGTTGACAAATTATCGGTAAATTTGTCGAAAGTAATTTATCGACAAAATTTTGTTGACAAATTATCGATAAATTGTCGTTTTTTTTGTCAATAAATTTGTCGAAGGGGGCATTTGTCGACAAATTATCGACAAACAATTGTTATTAACAGCCGGAATTACTTGTAAAAAATCGTATCTCATCTTTTTTTTTCTAGGCCATCTGACCTGGTGGCCTAATTTTTCCAACATGAATTTTCTAGGCCACCAAACTTTTTGACCTGAAAATGATCTGATGTTAACATGGTGTGTGTTTTAAGCCATTTTAGCATGGTGGCCTAACTTTTGCAATATGAGTTTTCTAGGCCACCAATCTTTTTGACTTAGAAATGGTCAGATATTCACCTGGTACGTTTTCTGAGCCATTTTGAGGTGGTGGCCTAACTTTCGCAAGTTGAGTTTTCTAGGCCACCAATTTTTTTGTCTTAAAAATGATCTGATATTCATCTGGTATGTTTTCTAGGCTATTTTTACATGGTGGCCTA